TATGCATCAATTGCATAGGACCTGCAAATCAAAGACGTTGGTTGTTTTGTTCCATTCAAATGATATAGTTCAAATCATAAGTTGTGTTTGCAAATTTTACTGCTTTTTATTTCAAGTTTATTCTGCATAAATTGGCGCACTGTAAAAATACTTACTCATGCATCTAAATTTCTCTTCCAAACTTGCATTTTTTTCTTTTGATTCAAATCAATAATCATTCAAAAATATGATTATTATGTTGTTTATTTTGTTTTTGAAATGTCTTGATCACCTCACGTGTTCTCATATGCTTTACCATCGGAGATGTGCACAAGTCGATACCCAAACCAAAAAATCATTCAACTGTAACGAGCTCATTGGGGTATACATCGTTACAATGAGACAAGGTATCTGAAAGAAATATGGAGGAATACGGCTATCGTTGGAATGAAACAAGTCGTACATAGATGAAAATGTTGCGTTTTTAAGAATTCATGTCAGCTTTAAGTTAAAAAATTCAAATCAATATAACTCTTTAAGGGTCCTCCACACCATGTGACTTGTGACGTATATAGAGAAAAAATACTTTTACTTCCGGTTCAATCGAGTTTCTGTAAGAACGATTTAACCTAATACCGTTTGTAAACAATGAACACATGGCATGATCACGGAGTGACCGATGGAAAAGGATGTGCGGTTTTTTGTTAAATAAAAGAACAACAGACGTCTTGGATTATCTTACATAATAATTCGTAAACAACAGGTACCGGTATGAACGTATGAAACGTTTAGGTTATTCATACTTTCAGGCTAATTAACCGAGTCTGTTTTGATAGTTGAAATTTTGATATACTAATTTGTGCGTTTCAATAATACATTATCTCATTGTGTGTTTATAAATATTGATAAAATGGTGTGCATTTTTAGTTTTCCTCTTTTATATTTGTCCAGTTCAGTGGCCAGTAATTACTAAATATAGTATGGTGACGTATGCGGAGACTTGCCAAAGTTTTTGAGTCCCGGGCAACAGGAAAGATAACTCCAAAAAGGAACTTTGATACCAAAGATTTTGAAAATATTTTTTTTACATCGGTGCATTTAATTTTAATTCAATTTTTTTATGTAATCTAATTCATTAATGTTTTTCCCCACAAAAAGAGTCCTTATTGATTTTTCTCGAAATGTATTTCAGAGAAAATGAGTTTTGTGTACTTTTTATAAATAAAATAAATTTCTGTAAAAAATATGTTGAGAGATAAAAATAAATTTTGATGCTTATTCTGTGAGCTTAATAATATACGAAAGGATAAGACAAAGTTTGTTGTGCTAGGTATGAAAAAGGCCTTGTGAAAAATTTCTTAAAACTTGTGAAATAATTATTTTAAAAAATCAGTATAAATTACATTTTAATCCCTGGACAGTTTTTAAAGGTTGATATGCTTGTAAAAAGTAATGCTCAATAATATGAGAGCATAACCTGTGGGTGTGTGGAGGACCCTTAAATAATTTTTATAGCGAAATAGAGTTTTTATCATATGTTTATTTGGAATATTATACAAAACTGCAAATATCAACAACATTTTATTATAATTCACATCCTATTCAAAATCAAAATTTTTAATTGAGTTTGTTCTCAGTTTATAGTCTAGAGGCCTGTAACAAACAAACTTAATAAATAACAAATATAGAAAGTTACAGATTAAGTCATGCTTGTATAGGTAACACAAATAAGTTTAACCACATTATCTAGATCTTGATTTTTATTCAAAGTTTCACAAAATTGAGATTTCAAGTGACAAAAAATGTTGATGAAAACTGAGCTTCAATCTCCGTAATTTCATTCCAGAAAGGTAGCATTTTCAATATACATCATATAAAGTTTCTAATTTCTTTATATACATTTTTTTATATTTATTATTTGTGTCATTTATTACCAAATTAGGTAAAAATATTTTATAATCTGAGCATCCATTTATTTATATCATCTGGCGCAATACAATACATGTATTTTATTTGTTTTTCATGTTGTTGCAAAGTTACGAAGGTCATTCAAAAAGTTTGTAGACTTTATTAGCTAAAGTCATAAATCCAAAATTGGTACACATTTTAACAACAATTCAAATAATTTGAGTAAAAAATATGGAATATATCTTCAGAATCCTAAAAATTATTAAAGATTTAGAACAGCAAAAATGCGGTCACGGCGCAACGTCAAAAATGAGTAATTAAATAATTTTCACTTAATAAAATCTTTAGCCATACCTCTAATAAATGGAGCTGAAACGAGACATACAATTTACATGTTTAAAATAAGTCTTGCTGCACTGCATTACTTAAGATACTATCAAGTATTGTAATACATCTCTCCGTTTCAAGGGAATCAATTTTTTTATACATATGGACTGGATTTAAGCAAAAAACCTTGACGTTGGAGGACGTCAGGGAGCAGCAAGGAACAATAAGTTTTTTTGGGGAAACTTATTTAACAGACTTAAAAAGAAAATTCTGTATAAACCAGGAAATGTACGAAAAATAAGTCGAGTTTTTGTATAAAAAAAAAAATACAAATTTTGAGTGGTAGTGAGTTTGAATCGGATGATGCACCAGGTCTGCAAAGAAACAGGTTATAGTTAGAAATTGTCAAAAGAGTTAGGAACGTCATTAAACGTGATGTTCTCTTCACTGTTGCGGAACTAATAGAGTAACGCGGTAAAGAATCTTAAAACACTGGCAATCTAGTTCAGGTTATTTGCACAATTGTTAGCAAACTAGGTTTAAGTGTTATGGACACTATATATGAACGGAGAAGACGTTTAATACCGTGAATGAAATTTAAGGCCAGAGTAATTTTGAGAAACTTTCTAGACGTTGTGCCTGACGTTACAATGTTGGTTAGCCGTGCTTTGTGGTAACAAAACATACACATGTTGCTTTAAAAATTGGCTTACGTGAGTTCTATTAGATCGAACTGAATGAAACTTCACATTTCGACAAAATAAATGTTTTTATTTAAGACAATGTTTTGATTTATAATTTTTTAATAATAATATGACGATGAAGAACATTGTCTATGTAATTTTTGAATGACCCTCGTATTCTTGCCATTGTTGAGTAAAATGTTGATATTTTTTAATTATTTTTCATTCATTTCGCAGGAAGGAAGTTGAACTCTATCCGGTAATAAGGTAAAATCGTCCTCTTGTGTTTCCAAAGATATAGTATTTGCCGGAAGAGGACAAGAATATAAGCTCCAACTGTGTGCCCTTGACCTATTGAGTATCAAATAGTCTAGATTACAAAGGCAATAACTTGTAGTTACAAGTCTAAGACAACAAATGCTGTTAAAAATATTGTTTGATTATATTTCAATCGGTACTTTAATTTCATTAATATCCGGGTATTTTACTAAAAATGATTCAATAAATAAATGAATGATGGGAAGGTAATGCTCACTCCTCCATTTTACCTGATCCAACCTCAAATGTTTAGAGGTTCATGTTTGCTCGATCTGCTCGTTGTCTTTGCTGTTTGAATCAATTTATGAGCTTGGATACCGTTCTTTATCTCCATATTTTTCATATAATTCATATTTTTGTATGGGTTTTATATATATATACCTATATTTCTCACCTGGCAAAAAAGATAGTTGTTCCAATCAGGATGCAGATGACCATTGCTTCTACTGATATTGCCAGTACCATGTTTAACACTGTGGGGTAGAAAGGAAGGCATGGAGTTTTCTCTTGACAGTCAGGCAACTCTGAAATTAAAGTAAAATGAGAAATCTATCTAACCTTTTTCTACGATAAAATACATAATTCAATTACCTTTTCATTACTCTATATAACCATTATACAAATAAATGCTTATTATACACAAAATAATCGATTCAGAAAAGATTAATTAATTTCCAGAACATGAAATCTGCTTTTCCTCCCCTTTTTTTTCTTAAAGAAAAAAAGGATCGTTTCAGAAAAGATTAATAAATTCCAGAACATGAAATCTGCTTCCCCCCCCCCCCTTTCTTAAAGAAAAAAATTATATATTAATTTAAATTACCTGTTGTTATCTGTAACTCCCTATCATTGGAGTGCAGCGTCTCTGATCAAAATAATGTTAACAAAAGAACTTTAAAAGTAGTTTTGATTAGGACCCTGTCACCTCAAGCTGCTTCCACACGGAGTAATTGCGACGTTGTTCAATTGTAAAATCTCCGTAGAATCGCAGGGAAAGTGCACAAATTTCTATAAATTTTTTCAAAAATCCGAAGATGTCACAGCGTCCATTTGACGACCAACGCGATTCTACGACGTTCTCCCGTCGTGCTTCTGCGTTCAAACTGAGTTATCTTGGCGATTGACTACGCTTTACGTGTTACGGGTTGTCACCTCGCTTTCATGGCGTTCTTACTGCGTTGGATACGTTTACAAACCGTTCACAATGCGTTCCTCTCAACGGATATTCAGAAGAAATGTATCACATTTTGTTACATTACTTGATGAAATAATTTCTACTTATGCCAAGAAATATTCTTTAATTGATTGTATACTGTTTAACATCCCTCTCCAGAATATTTCACTGATATGGAGACGTCACAATTGCCGGTGAAGGGCTGCAAATTTAGGCCTATGCTCGGCACTTACAGCCTTTGAGCAGGGAGGGATCTTTATCGTGCTGTGACACGGGGCCTCGGTTTAAACGGTCTCATCCGAAGGACCGCCCCATTTAGTCGCCTTTTACGACAAGCAAAGGGGTACTGAGGACCTATTCTAACCCGGATCCCCACAGGGCTTCTTTAATTGAAAATGATGTACTATTATTTGAGTAATTAAGTATTTAAAAATTATTGATAAATGTATTATTAAAGCCCGTTTTCAATCACAAGGCGGTCAATCTCTTTATAAGAACCGTAATCGCGTGATAGGAACGCAGTTACATCTCCAAGGACTCGACTTAGACTAGATCTCTGTGGAAAGGCCCTGTCACACCAAGCTGCGTTCACACGGAGTCTTTACGGCGGTGTTCAAATTTTAAAATCGCCGTGGAATCGCAGGAAAATTGCACACATTTCTGCAAAATTTTCACAATGTGAAGATGTCACGGCGTTCCTCAGCAACGGACGCGATTCTACTGCGATCTCACGGGGTTCTACTGCGGTCCCACTGATATCTCTCGGAGATTGATTGCGCTTCCGCGGAGTTTTCACGGCGTGTTAGGAGTTTTAATTTTTCACCTCGTGTTCACGGCGTTCTCACTGCGCTGGCTTCGTTCACAATACGCTCACTATGCGTTCTATACTCATTGATATATATTCAGAAGGAATGTAAAACATTTTTGTTCAAAGATTCATGCTACACAATGAAAAAACTTCGAATCATACCAAGAAAAATTCTTAATAATTAAAAATGTTCTATTTGAATAATGTATTACTAAATTATAAATAGTTTTATGATTAATTTCCTTTTTTCCAATTTTATCGGTTTAGATGTGTTGTTAAATTTTCTTTGATTTAATTATGAATTTAAAAAAAAAATCACTGAAAAGTTTTCTACAAAATTTAAGTAAAACAACAGAACAAGTTCTGGTGTAATTTTCTCTTCCATGTTTTACTTAAATGCTCCAAGTGCAATAAATACGTTGGAATTATGATTTTATTGCTCTTGTTTTGTGAGCTGGCTCACAACGCTCTAACAACGCCGTGAAAGCGCATTGTGATCGCCAACGGACGCTGTAGAAACGCCATGGAAGCGCAATGATCGCAGTGACAACTCCGTGCTGTCGCCGAGTAATCGCAGTCGAAAAAATCACAAGACGATAAATCTCATTAGAAGCGCCGTAAAAACGCGATAGAAACGCAGTTACATCTCCAAGGACTCCACGACATCTCCGTGAGGTCTCCGTGGAAGCGCAGTCTACTATCACTGCGTTCGTGCCGCGATCATGTGTGTCTTGACGGCGTTCGTCCGGAGCTCCAACTACGTTGTTGGAGATCTCACCGCGCTGCTACGGTGATCATACTTCCTTTCTTCCGCGTTCTTATCAGACCGTGATCACACAGCGTGTACTTTGTGCATGCCCAAAGTCATCGCCGTCCTCTGGCGTTCTAGGAGTCCCTACGCGATACTACGGCGTTCAGTGGAGATCTCACCCCGTTGTCACGGCGCTGTTGGAGACTCTACTGAGATCACCTCGGCGTTTTGCATTTTTTGAGGACGCCGTGCAGTCGCCTTGAGGACGCAGCCGCGGTGTGACAGGGGTTGAAGCGCAGTCTACTATCACTGCGTTCACGCTGCGATCAGGCACGTCTTTATGGCGCTTGTATGGAGCTTTCACTGCGTTGTTGGAGATCTCACCGCGCTTCCACGGCGATCATACTGCGTTTCTACTGCGTTCTTATCAGACTGCGATAACCCAGCGCGTACTTTAAGCATGTTCAAAGTAGGCGACGTCCCCAGGCGTTCTAGGTGACCCTATACGACTAGTGCTATCAGTGGAGATCTCGCTGCGTTAACACGGCGCTGTTGGAAACTCTTCCGCGCTTACCTTGGCATTTTGCATTTTTTATGGACGCTAAGGTGAGAGGCATGAGGACGCAGTCCTGTTCTGACAGGGTTTTAACGCCTAAGTTACTGCAGTTATAAATAATTCTTTTTAACTCAATATTCTAAAATCTGTCTGAACCGTTTACGTACAACAAACAATCCTCACTTTGACTCTCAAAATATGCAACAACAATAATAAAAACTTTTTAAAATTTTGTAGGTTTTAACAGGACATATTTTCTGAAGACACAATGAAAGTTTTTACAATAATGGGCAATAAGAGGGAAATTATTAGGTTTGAATTTTTTTTGTCACCTGAGGGCATTAAATTTTGCACCGTTTAATCGCAATTTTAGGCGCCTCTAGATCTCTTCTTATTATAAACAGTCTATAAAAGTTTTCAATTTTTTACAACGTCAGTTTTTAAAGTATGAAATCTCGAACCCAATTTATGATATTATCATAAAAGAAATGATTGGGATTGGTAATAACTATAGCCAGTGTTTATTTTAAGTTTTCGGTGTGGTTCAGCATCCTTTGTTCTGTTGATAAATTTTAAGATCCTACATGTATATCTGTCTGTCTGTTACTTTATAACGGTCGAGAGCATTGTGCCTCCAAAAAAGAAAATTTTCTTTGTTTGATCTACATTAATTTAACAGAGAATCTAAATTTTTATAACGTTTTTCTTTAACTTTTAAACAGTAATCCTATTTTTTTTTATCAGGATCAATTATAATGAATGCCTAAATTATCTGTTGAGGGAAGAAAAGTAAAATTTCAATATTAAAATTAAAAATAAATTAAAATATGCACGTTGATCTGATTTAGTACATTGTCTCATTTATAATGAAATACATGTGAATGAAAATTGTAAATGCATGCTTATGAAAAACTTTTATTATACCTGCCGCACTTGTTGTTTGAACACAGCCGTTTTGCTTATCACATTGGTCTTCACATGTGCATTTTTCCTCACAAAAGTGACCATAAAATCCCGATGGACACTCTTCTGAACAGTTTTCCCCAAATGACCCAGGCGGATATTCTAACAGTAAAAAATTTATTTGTCCTTAATTCTATCTAAAATTAAAGTGACATTTTTGATAAAACCAATAAGAAAATTTGGAGTTAAGTCAAATCTTTGATAGATCTATATATGAAAGATGAAAGGGATGGATTTCCAAATTTCTGAGCTATACATTCCACCAGAATTATCTCTTATGCTTGTTATTTCTTTTATTTTAATTCAAAGTTTTCTTGTAATTATTACAAGTTGCATTTTACTTAATGTATTGTACTCTGAAACTACATTGTACCAATAATGCTGACACTTTAGCCATGATATATTTTAATTGTTATTGGGAACTTTGATCAAATTTAATGAATTTAAGCCTTAACAAGTAACATATAAGCATTTTTCAATTTAATAGGATATTAACTAATAGTATGTAAATAAGTATATGAACAACAGTTTGATTTGAGAAATCAATAAACGATTGTTTGTTAAACTGTACTATACCAATTAAGATTATTGCTTTAGCCAAATCAGATAAAGTAAGGATCTACATCCGCCTTTTGCTCCTTGTAATGATCGGGAAATAACGGAAAAATCCGTCGTTAATTCAAAATATAAATAATGGACTAACAATTAGTAAAATAATTTTATTGAAGTTTCAGAAGTTTACAGAAGTATGAATAATTCTTATGAAAACAAGTTCTTAACTGTGCTATTTTTAAATAGATGATACGAAATAGGCACAAAATCGTTCCTTTGAACTTCAATTTTTTAAATTAGAAAATAGAAAAGAAACGGATAAAACTTTATAGAAGTTCAATTTTCCAATCCATTTTTAGTCCTGAAAATTATAAATTATAATTAGGTCTTTCCACCTTTCTGGGGAAAGACCTATTGAAATTCTTCTGTTTATTATTCTTTTTTATTTTTAGGTCTTTCCAGCTTTCTCTGGAAAGACCTATTGATATTCTTCTGTTTCTTCTTTTTAGGTCTTTCCACCTTTCTTTGGAAAGACCTATTGAAATGCTTATGTTTTTTATTCTTTTTCTGCCGGACTTTTGAAACCGCAAGTCTTATTGGAAAACTTTAAAGTTCATGATATTGGATATTTAAAGTTATTCCGAAAAACGACCCAAGAAGTTTGAACTTTGACCCCTTTCGAAGTTATCACCCTTTACGCAAGAAATGCTTGTTATCGCTACTCCTCCGAAACTGTAAACCGTATAGGTATGAAACCTTCACTAATGTCTTTGACTACTTGAGAGGATCTTTCAATCTATTCATTGCGAAAGGATCTACAGACCCCTTATATGAGTTATTGCCCCTGAAAGTTTTTGAATTTTACAAATAATTAAAAATTTTCAAAACGAGAAGTCGTAAAGACATGGGACCAACTGCATCAGATTCATTGACCTTTGATCTTAAAATTTATGTAAAGGTCAAAGGTCAAGGTCATTACAAAATCAGAAATTAAGCTATTTTAATCTTTTTCAACTTATATTATCTGTCTGTGCATCATTAAAATGCACTCTTAAAACTATTTCAAAGATTTCATTCTTGTCCCCTAAGATGAACCCTTTTAAAAGTTATATCCCCTTGTGTGAAAAACCTTGTTATCCCTACTCCTCCGAAACTGTAGACTGTAGAGACACCAAACCTTCACTAATGTCTTAAGGAACTTTAGGCCTAACTTCACTGTATAAGTGCAAAAGGATCTGATGACCCTTATGTGAGTTATTGCCCTTTAACTTCTTTGTACTTACTATTAGACCTTATAACTTGAAAACTATAAGTCATAGAAGCATGGGGTTAAATGCGTTATGACCCTTGACCTTTGACCTTGAATATTTTTTCAAGGTCAAAGGTCAAGGTCATTCCAATTTTTTTTTAGTTTTCATTTTTTCTTTGCTTTAAGACAATTCTGGTTTCTTTTTCATGGAAATTAATTCTTAGGAGTCAAATATAAAAATTTGAAATTCAAAGAAGGTGGAAAGACCTCTTATTGTTCTGTGAACAATAAGTCTCCTAGTTCTTATTTTTTATTATTTTTCCGCCGTGTGATTTTGAGTTTCAAGATTTATCGAAAAGACTTTTAGTCGATAAGAATGTACTTCGTAAAAGATTTTCGCAGTTGACCCTGCGTATATGAACTTCGACAACTATCGGAGTTATGACCCCTTTCGCAATAAAATCTTGTTATCGCTACTCCTCTGAAACCGTAAACCGCAGAGATTCCAAACCTTTATTAATGTCTACGACTGATTTAGTAGACTCTTCAATCAAACATTGCGAAAGGATTCGTAAACTCCTATAGTGAATTATTGCCCCTGAATGTTTGCGATGTTTACGAATATCAAGAACTTTTCTAAAACGACAAAGCGTAGAGACATGGGGCCAACTGCAAAAGATTTCTTGACCTTTGACCTTAAAATCTAGGTCAAGGTCAAAGGTCAAGGTCATTCAAAATATGTAAAATTAAGCATTTTTTATAGCTCTTTTGTTCTTAACCAAATTCTAAACTTCTTTGCATTTTTAGTATGTACTCTTAAAACCATTTCAGAGATTCCATGCTTGTCCCTTAAGATTGAACCCTCTAAAAGTTAGTGCCCCTTTCATTGTAAACCCTTGTTATCGCTTCTCCTCCGAAACCGTAAACCGTAGAGGTATAAAACCTTCAACAATGTCTGCGACTAATTAAGTACACTTCTCATTCTATTGATGCCAAAGAATTCGTAAACATTTAAAGTAGCTATTGCCCCTGGCAGTTTATGATGTTTACAAAGAACTAAAAACTTCTTAACGACAAGTCATAAAGACATGGGCCCAACTGCATGAGATCTTCTGACCTTTGACCTTGAATATAAGGTCAAGGTCAAAGGTCAAGGTCATTGGGAAAGTATCAAAATTGCTTATTTACGGGCTTTTGGTTAAAATGACCGTGACCTTTGACCTTGATATTTGAACTTGACTTTGACCTTGACCTTTTCTCAAAAGTTTAAAAAGATATATTCATTTTCTTTACCTAGATTCAGCTTCAAGTGTAAAACTCAAGTTTATAAAAGTGTTTTTTTTTATGACCTTGACCTTTGACCTTGATAAATGACCTTGACCTTTGACCCAAAGGTCACATTCAAGCTTAAGTATGTGGAGGTATTTATAATTCTCACGTCACCAAACACTTATATAATACCCCCCCCCCCCCCCCGATTTCTCTAAAAAAAAAAAATCAATAGCGGCATAGAAAATTTTTCTACAACTCAAAGGACATAAAAGATCAAGATAAAATTCAGTTTAGCATGTAGAAGGCACCTGAAAGAAAGTGCCCTGAGAGTTTTACGGTGAGTCTCTTAAATACAATTAAATTCTAGTGAATATCGGCGAAATCTACATTTTTTTCTGTCTGAAATTTAATTGTTTCTGAGTATAAAAAATAATTTAAGCTTGTATTGGCCATTTCTTCGATTGTTGTTAATATCACTCGATTCTCCTGCTCCAATACGATATTTCGATACTAAATATTCTTGCTTTCTTTAGTATGTGGAATTTATTTCAATTTTATTTAGATTTAAAATATTAATGAAATGAATCTCGAAAATAGCGATTTTTCCTGTCAAATAAATTTCCACGCTCTGAATGACACGGTTTTTTTTTTCCCCTGAGATGCATGTTTCAAGTTTAATTTATGCTGGTAACTATGAATTCAATTCAAATAGAAATGATTATTAAATCATACCTATGAGTTTACCATATCTGTCAAAACGAACGCGGCCTTTTTCAAATACATAAATTTCTACGCAACCTCAAACGCTTGTATCCCCGTTAATAGCAATATCATAATTGTAATCAGACAATATCCCTTACATATTAACTCGAAAACAATCTCATTCCAACTCACATATACAACAAGGAGCTTGTCAGAAGTTTATTAACTGGATCTCTTTGACTAGTCAATGAATCAAGGAAATTCCGGTAACTTTAACTCGACTATAATACAAGACAATTTCAACGGAACCCGTGGCGTAGTGGTTAGAGCGCTCGCCTGCTAATCAGAGGGTCCAGGGATCGAATCCGGCTGGAGCACTTCATGATTTTTTTTTCAATTTTTTTTTTTTTTTGTGTTTTTCTTCTTTTTTTCAACCCAAATGACACGGAAACACTTAAAAAGCTGGAAAGACCTCTTATTGTTCTGTGAACAATAAGTCTCCTAGTTTTTTTATTATATTTCCGCCGCATGTTTTTTTGTTTGAAGATTTATCAAAAAGATTTATAGTCCATAAGAATGTACTCTTTAAATGATTATTGCAGTTCACCCTGCGTAAATGAACCTTGACCCCTTTCAAAGTTATTGCCCCTTTCGCAAGAAATGCTTGTTATCGCTACTCCTCTGAAACCATAAACCGTAGAGGTATGAAACCTTCACCAATGTCTTCGACTGATTAAGGGGACTCTTCAATCTATTCATTGCAAAAACATTCGGTGCTCCCTTCAATGAGTTATTGCCCCTGAAACTTTTTGAATTTAACAAATAATTAATTTTTTTTTAACGACAAGTCATAGAGACATCGGACCAACTGCATATGATTTAATGACCTTTGACCTTCAAATTCATGTAAAGGTCAAAGGTCAAGGTCATTCCAAAAATGAGAAATTTAGCTCTTTTTATATCTCTTTTGTCTTTTAACATATACTTAATGTCTATGCATCATTAATATGTACTGTTAAAATTATTTCAAAGATTTCACTCTTGTCCCCTAATATTAACCCTTTTAAAAGTTATTGCCCCTTCTGCGAAAAACCATGTTATCGCTACTTCTCCGAAACTGTAGACTGTAGAGACACTAAACCTTCACTAATACCTTAAGGGTTTTTAGGCCTTACTTCACTGTATAAGTGCAATGGATCTGATGACCCCTTATATGAGTTATTGCCCTTTAAGTTCTTTGTACTTACTCTTAAACCTTATAACTTGAAAACTATAAGTCATAGAAGCATGGGGTCAACTGCATTGTGATCCTTGACCTTTGACCTTGAATATTTTTTCAAGGTCAAAGGTCAAGGTCATTCATTTTTTTTTTTAAATTTTCATTTTTCTATGCTTTAAGAGAGTTCTGGTTTCTTTTTCATGGAATTTAATTTTTAGGAGTCAGGTATAAAACAAATTTAAAATTCAAAGAAGGTGGAAAGACCTCTTATTGTTCTGTGAACAATAAGTCTCCTAGTTATAATATTATATTATAAAATTATAATATAGCGAGCGCGAACTCTGACGAAAACGCATGAAAGAGAAGATTCGGAGTAACACATTGATTTTTTCTCTCAGTAAGTCAGTAACTTCTGGACCCACTAATGCATCGCTTCTTTAGGCTACGTTTTCGCGAGAAAAACAATAAAAATTCACCAAAAAAAAAAACAAACTCTGATTTAATTGGAACATTTGCAGATAAACAGTAAACAAGAAACATATGTTGACGCAAGCGTCAAAAATGGGCCGCAAACCAATTAATTGTTAATCCTTTTATGAAGCCACTAAAGACTAAATTGGTAATCTGTTTTAAAATTATCTATATTTATCTGTTAATATATATATATCCTCGTGACATTAAGCGATTGTGCACGACATTGCATGATTTTCTTAATTATATAATGCATGTTCAGTATTGCCCCTGGTCCTCTGCGTCAACAAACCTTGGCCGGGCCTAGATAATTAGGAGGCATTATATTAAAAGTTAAAAAGTTAAACTAAAGCTTAATGTAATCTGCAACTAGATATGCAGTGTAGTTTTCATTTAATAAAAACGCAACAAATATTTAGGGCTCCTTGCTCTCTCTCTTAGAGGAAAAAACTAAACTTCCTCTAGATCCGCCACTTCATTTCTTCTCTTTCAGTTTCTTTGAGTTGTAGCTGGAAAATTCTTGGCACATTGTAAAATGTGCATTATCCTCGTCTGCTAGGGCCAAATCTTGTAATATTCTGTAGCCTGCTAGGTCTTAAATCCTGTTTAGATAGAGAAAGTAAAATTGTGCAATATACATAACTCGGTCTTTGCTTTAGACTATGCCCAACACTGTCCTAAATTTCTCCGCACCTCAAACATATCAAAGTTTCTCAATCAGGATTGGATGAAATATTTACATCATTCTTTATTTTAAAAAAATAATTTTATGTTCATTGTGCGTTCTTGTTAAACATTAAGACACTCTTTTTAATGTACTAGTATATTAATGCTAAATATTTTTCATTTAAATTGTTTTAACTCCGCAGAAACGCACAGCGACTTCAAACTTTCATATCATATAACCGACCGCCTCCTGGCGGCCGGTAATAATAAAACGCTCTCCAATTTTAAAGTCAGCACATTTTTTAAATGTCAGTCTAGACGTACACAATGTCACGTGCGATGTGACGAGCCCGATTTAAAATGAAACTGAATAAGTATCTCGCTCGCCCGAAGGGTCGTGCCGTCCGCATATTACTTTTGAATATATTTAAACTTAATTGTGGAGTTATAATTCGATTTTTTTTTTCATCAATTAAATTGAAATAAGACATACCTTGGTCAACACATCCGAATCTTTTGTCACAGATGGCATCTGAGTTGCATTTGCATTTCTGTCGACATAGATATCCGTACGTTCCATAGGGACAATTATCCTCGCAATTGTGGCCATAGGTACCCGGAAAACAAACTGTAATATGAAGATTTAATTTTGTTTCATTTAGACCCACAATTTCGAAAATCGGTGTAGTTGTTTTCTTTTATCTAAAGTTTTTCACATGCAATATAAGAAATGCAAACTTGTAACACGAACCCTCGCATTTGTTTTTGATATGCTGGTAGTAATTAATACAACATTTGAACTCTCTGAAATGAAGTAGATTAGAAATTATAGAATCTAAGCAGCTATCACGAAGTAATAAAATACAGTTATATAAGATCTCGTTTTTATGATTTTGATTGATTTGCAAATAATTCACGATAAACAAGCAAATTAATAAAATATGGTTCCTACCCGTCATGTCCAGTGCACACTCCTTTTTGAAGACCTGAGACAAATTACACACTTTCAATAATAATATCCTAACAATAAAAGTAATATTTCAAAATGACAAATCAACAATCGATCAAAAACATGTGATTCACTTACATCCTAGTATATGATCACACGTTTCATTAGGGTTGCAATAACATATTCCAAGACATAGTGATCCATACTGATTTTCTGGACACCGCTTGATGCAATTCTCTCCGAACCATCCTTCTGGACAAACTAAAGTTTAAAAACAACTACAATCTGTATTTACTTTTTTCACATTTATGCAAGATAAATACTTTGCTAAGATTAAATTAGATTGATTGATTTGTAGTTCTCCTGTTTAAATATTTCTCTAACTTTCCGATTACCTTTACATGTTCCGCTTTCTTGATAGTAATCAACACAACATTCACTTTCATTCCTGTGAAAACCAATTGGAAAAGAAAGCTTTTAAATACCAACATTTTTCTGATATTTTGGTGAAAGGACATTAAGAAAGTATATTTTCCTAATTTCGTTCAAAAAGACCTGATAGAGGTTGATTTTCGGTTTGAAAATTCGTTTATTGAGTTACTTTACCTGATGATATTTTTTAAAGAAAGACTTACCTAGAATTTCGATATTTATCTGATCATTTCAGTGTGTAAAAGTTGGAAAAAACATTGTATTCATGAAATTGTTTAATTACAGAAATTAATTGCAACAAAAAAAACTTGCAAAGTTAATGCTTTCATTTCTTTTTTACCACCATATTCTCATTTAAACTGTTGAATAATTGCATAAATGTATCTAGGAAAAAATCTTACGTTACTGAGTTTTTACATTCTCCACTTCCATGATTGAAAGATGTTATGCCCTCATGAATAAACAAAATTAACAAGTACAGAACAATTATATAGCTATTCCAACGCATATCGTTTTTCATATAGTTTCTTCAAATGTTCAAGTTAAATTTATATACATGTAAATATTGAAAAGGAAACAAAGAGAAAAATGAGGGAAATAACAAATGTTACATTTTTTTATGAAGTATTGATGCTTTCGTTGAAATCTATTTATTCTTTTTTATCTTTATTTGCAATATAAGCTATTTTTCATCATTAAAACACAAATAAAATGTGATAAGAAATGAATAGAAATACAAATAAAAAATACATTACCATACATTGATTGTGATCTGTTTCTATGTAATTTAAATTTACAAGGTCTTACCAGGTTGTTACGTCTTATTGATTTCACTGCACTGAGAGATCATATATGACGTCACTGACTTATTAGACTGTGACGTAAAGAAACAACTATATAATGTAGCACCTATATTAACAGTAACTATGACGTAGTCAATTGTCATGTGTCCTGTCTTCCTTTAAACAAATTACGCCTAAAAACGTTCCGTGCAGTGATTTATACATTTGAGGAAGGTAATATTGTTGCATCAATAACGGAAATTGACGATTGAAAGAAGTTTCATCTCGTTTCAACATAAGGATGGAAATTACATAATTACATAATATTAATTGGTTCATATTTTGATGTTTACTTGAAAAAGACATTAATGGTAATCTTACAATCTAGCTTTATAATAAACGTTATGACTTTAATTTTCAATCGTCAACTTCAAATGAAATACATCGGTTATGCTATGAAACATATAAGTGTACCTGTAGCAATCATTACTGATAAAATAATATCCAGATAGAAGTTTTATTTCTGCTTAAAAGGACAATTACATGTTAATGAAATGTCGATATACATACAATTCTTTTAGATGTTTAAAGTATATAATTTGGTCGACAACATGCCTTTCATATTGTTTTTACAAGGGGTTATCAAAAAGTTTTAATCTATAAAATTATTACTATGTACTCTGTTATTTTAAAATAAAAACGACATTATATGATCACCCGGTGCTGTCGCCGTTTAGTTTCATTACGTCGGTTAATGTGACTTTTTCAATGTCCGCTTTTACTACCTCATACAGTTATTTTGATGAGATTCCCTGGAGCTGAGTAAGGACTTAAACCCGAATTGTTTATATGACTTTAAAATGTCATGAACAGCGGCTTTCAATGATTATATCCCAAATGGATTCATACATTGGGAGAGATCCTCTCTTGATTGTGCCAGCATGCTTTACTTTTGGAAGTTAAATATGTACAACACATGATCGTCATTTTTGACGTGATTGATTTTTCACACCTTGATTACAAATCGAAATAAACTGTGCACTCCTTTTCTCTCTAAATTTATTTTGACATTGAAAGACGAGTACTTTGGATGCATATTATTTCTATGTAGCAAGTTTAAACATTTCTTAGGTCTATACAAGTTTTTCAGGGGCGAAACTTTATAGAATGTTGGAAAAGGAAACCATTACCCCCTTTTGACGTTATTTTAAAGGCCTTATTTGTTTGGACACTCCATGTAAAATTCACAATCAAATTTCACAGAACTTCCCAAATGAAATAAAACTTTCATATTTTATGGAACAATTGTGTCCCAATGCATACT